TGCATGCGTTTCTTTCTATGAAAAAGGTCGATCCTAGAATTCCTTGTGGTATTATAGGGAAATCGTCGGGGACGACGTGAAAGGTCACAGGAATGGAGAATATGGGAATTTTAACTGAGTCGAGAGTATTGACTATTTCTTCAGTAATACCGGTAAGTTGAAGAATTTCGTTACTATTAATTATAACGTTATTGTTAATACAAGATTTTTTTACTATATTAGGCTGAGCACCCGTGTCGAGCATACACGCTACGGGACTTCGAAAGGAAGGTGATTGGAGTTCGACGACAGGCACGTCATTGGTGTCTGGTCGGAGGATATACACTCCTATGGGGTGCACTCGAGAGGATATATGAGACGCACGTTCCTCTGGCCTCGGGTGGTCCCGTTGGCTGATGCCTGGTTTCCCGTTTTTGAAGGCGTAAGTAATGAATTGTTATTGTGATTATCGTTACTGTTAACATTATTATTGTTGTCAAAACGCGGATTGTTAACATGGTATTACCGTTTACGACATTCGTGGAACAAATATCCGAAGTTTTTACAGTATGTGCATATTTTTCGTGCGCCGTCGAAGGCGTTTGTATTGTCGGTCGGTCCGTGATGATTGTCGCGTTGTAAAATTCTTGTTTGTATATTGCCATTGGTGTTAGTAAGGTATTCTTCGTGAGAGTTTCGACTGTTTTTGTATCTGGCCTCTTCTTTTTCTAGACGCTTGTGTATCGTTATCGCTTTAGCGCACGCATCGGTAAAAATTTGTATATCCTTCCGCCTTTAATTCTACTCAATATTTACTCGGAAGTCCTTCGTAAAATGCTTCTAACTATGATTCGATAAGATGTGTTTCGACGTGAGTTAGTTTACGATTAAGATTAGACTGGTCGCCTTCTACAATGGCAGTGACTAAATCTTTTACTCTACCTATGTAGTCGAGGATACGTTCTGCTTGTTTTTTGTACGCGATACTAAGTTGTCCGCGATAATAATTTGCGCTCCTATCGGGCCCGAATGTTTTCTTCAGGGCTTCCAGAAATTTCGCAACTATCTCGTGAGTCTCGTCTTCAATTGCAAGGTACGCGTGATGCGACAATTTATTTCAGAGCATTTTTACGAATAATGCCTCGTCAATTAAAGGTATAGAGTCTTTGGCTCGCTTGCAAGCGCGCGCGAATTGCCATATGGGTATATTATGCCCATCGTACTTTGGTACTAATTCTAACGCGTCGCGAATATGTGATTTCGGGTAAACTGAGCAGGCGTTAACAGACATATTGGTCGAAGGTGTATTTAGAGGAGAAGAGATTTCTTTAGGAAGTATATTTTCGTTGAGAGGTGTTGGTTCTTCACTATAATTTAATCTAGCGGGGGCAGTAGAAAGATTTGCAATATTAAGTCCTGCTAATGCTTACGTCATTATGCGTATGCTATTTTGTAATATTTCCGTTTGCGTTTTGAGTTCATTCGATGCTTTTTCTTGTGTTTCTTTAATTACTGACTCGTATTTTTGTTGCAGATTTTCCAGTTCCACCCGTGGAATGGTAATATTACTATTTTTATCCGAGTTACTGTGCGAGTGTGCGTGCGTGCGTGCGTGCGTGCGTGCGTGCGTGCGTGCGTGCGTGCGTGCGTGCGTGCGTGCGTGTGTGTGTGTGTGTGTGTGTGTGTGTGATTAGGAGAATTATTTAATAACTTTCTCAAGTATGCGTATATAAGAGATACTATTGTTAGTGGGAGGAAAAAAATTTTCTGAAATTTGATCCTGCCATTTTATGTAGACGGTTAAATAATGAAGTACAAAAAGGGAAAAAATTTGTTGTATTTACCTTATTGATTCTCTCTTTTCTGATTTAGCAGTGAAAGCGAGAAATTAATTAGTCGCGGAGAGGGCATGAGTGTGCCCGTAGAAATGTGATAATGCTTCGTATTTATGGGGGTGTTATCTTTTACGTCGTCGTACGTTTTTCTTCTATTTTTCAGATATACGGAAAACCGATATAACGTATTAGGACATATTTCGCACTCGTCTATCTTAGTTGCAACGGCTGAAGGCCTTTTGCATTTGTCACATTCGATTTAAAATTTTTCTCCTCCTATTCGCAGGTAATGCGAGAATATTACGGAATAATATTTTCGTTCTGACACAGGTAGCTAGTAGATACAGTCTACACACACGCTTTCCCGTTTTTCTATGTGTATGTATATAAACTCAAACACGCATGTTGCTCTATTAACGCGATGAGTGTATATCACAGCTGGCGGAGACTGTCGCTGTCGTTTGCAGATACAGACGGCTTTGCACATAGCGCAAGTAACGATAAGAACAGTTCCTTTTAATCTGGAAGGAACAAAATAAAATAATTCTTAACGTGAATTTAATTATAATGTCGTGTTTATCCCTCCCGATTAGTTGCTTTTGCCAATTTCGTTTTTCTCGAATTTTATATCGCGAGTTTAGATCCCGAATTTTGCGTTTAAATCTCTTAGCGTAAATTTATATCCTTGAATACGTGCTTTAAATCCGCGAACGTAAATTTAAATCCCAAAATGTAATTTTAAATCCCACCGCTGTCACCAGTTTATTTATGTTACGTCCTGGGTCGCGTGTTTAGTATTAATGCGGTCTCAAGGCGCGACATAAAATCGTAGGAGCGCGGAGCGGGGCGCGCGGGACGAAACCTTGACTTCGGGTGAGGTTCGTTTTTCGGTATGTGTTTACGCGTTGAGGCTGGCTGCTGTCACCAGTGCCTTTGTAACAGGCACGAATTAAATTATTATTTTGCACGCGAGATATCTCTTATTATATGTAACTTATTTGAAGCTTCCGTACTCCCTTATTATGCACAGGAAGAAATTAAAACATAGAGTTTAGAGGAATTGTCAGATAAAGCGCCCGTAGTATACGAAGGTGTACGAGGAATTGATGAAGATATAAAGATCTCTTTCCTGTAGGCAGCTGTGATATTTTCATCACACGTTTCACTCTGTCTACGCTCTCTGATTCCTATGCGGGAAAGGGAGCAGGGAAGGATAATAAAGGGCCATAAGGGCAAAGAATAAAACGAAAGATAAGGATTAACTATTTTTATATTTAACCTGCATGCAGTGTTATTCGTAATGCGAGGTTTGCTCGAAATCAGTACAGGCCTCGTTGGTTTGCGGACGGGCGCGATATAGGAGGGAGATCGCAGCGGCGCGGGTCGCGGCGGTGGTGGCGCGGGTATTTCGGCCCCTAGGTTCTTGGGCCTATCCGGAGGGACGTAGGTTGTCGCGGTATACGCTGGAAGATCCCTGGTTTCGATCTCGACCTCCTTGGACCTCGAGCTGGGTTCTTCTCAATAAACTATAGGGTCGAAGGTCCCTTTCGCGAGGAGCGCCCGTTATAGCTCCTTTAAATGGACGCGCCACCCTCCACGATTCCCTCGGACGTTTCTTCTGCGGCATCTACGTGCCAAAGAAATGCATAGAGTAGAGAGGGTGAAAGAGGGGAGGAGTGCGGATGCCTCAACGCCGTGAGAGGCGCTCGTTTGAGCTCCGTAGGAGGCGAGTTTCGTCGTCGCTTTTGGTCAGCGCCGTCGGAGCTGGGGATAGGAGTAGCCCTTCAGACGCCGTGAAGGCGCACGATCGGGTCTGGATTCCTGGGAGATGTGGAAAGTTCCGGAGCACTAGTTAAAGCGCTGGGAAGACTTACCATTGGTTTTATCGACGGGAAGAATGATGAGGAGAGAAATAAGCGTGTCTTAAACAGTGATGCACATCTGGCTCCCGGGCAACACGAGAATCATCCCCACTACTCTCGCTGTCTCGCTCCCTCTCGCGCAGCGGCTTCACGAGAGGGAGCGAGACAGCGAGAG